ACAGAACTGCTGATACTGCTGCTGCTGTCTGCATCACCCTTCTTGCTGTTTGTGAGTTCAGGAGGAAGTGTTGTTGTGGTGGTCGTCGTCGTCGTCGTTGTATCTGTATTTCCAGCAGTAGTTGGGTTACTTGTTGACTCACTCCCATCAGGTGAAGTTCCATTATCATTATTTGCAGTATCAGAATTACTGGTACTCCCTGTGTTTGAACTGTTTGGAGAAGAGGTTTCTGTGGTGCCATTTCCATCTGCACTGTTGCTGTTGCTTTCAGGTTGACCTTTACTTACAGACACTTCACCATCACTCTCAGGAGCGGATGTATCAGGTTTAGCTCCAGAAGCCTGAGAAGCACCATCTGCACCTTCTTTATTGGTAATACCTTTCGCACCAGCACCTGAAGGCTCCTGTTCACCTTCAGGACGTCTTTCAGATGGTGATGGAGAAGACGATTCTGCTGTCGTTTGAACACGACAATTAGGATCAGTATTACCAGCAGAATTAGTGGAACAAAGGACACCTTGTGCAGATTCAGGAGAATGAGGTTGTGGTTGGGATTGGCTCTGTGGAGAACCTTCAAGCGAATGTGTAGTACCGTGACCATTTTCCTCTGTTCTTGTGTGTGCAACTCTACTGTCATCAGTGTCTTGTCGTTCTTTTCTCTCATTGTTAGGCCCCAGCGTCTTCGTATTATGTTTGCAGGATTCCTTCACAGGTTCCTGTCCATCACAGTCTTCAGTTGCTGCTCCCTCCCTATCTTCTGAATGAGTACCACTTTCCCGGATCTGTAAAACAGTATCACCGCCAACTCCATCAGTCTCTCCTTCTGCATCAGCTCCCACACATCCGCAGACACAACAGAATGAGAGAACCAACACACAGAGCACGTGGCGCATTGGTATCATAAGCGTTGTTGTTATTATTATCTGGGATCACTACCATGAGCAAATAAAAAGAAGAGAAAACAAACACCAACGAAACGAATCACAGTATTCTAGAACAAATATATAAGCATACTCAGAACAAAAAAAAGAAAAACAATAACATCAACACATACCAAACAGAGATCCAGAACCATGACTCATATAGAGCCCAAATAAAGGGAACAACAAACACAGTACCCAATAACAAACAGATAATCCCAATTTACCCTCAAAAAAAAAAGAAATTAAAGAGTACAACCATAAGAAGTAGACAGCACAGAAATACATAACAATCTCTTTTCTGGTCGAAGCAAGTGCAAAATTATGAATATACATATATATATATATAAATGAATTCCTTATTATTCTTTCTCCCCACAAAACACTCCAACACACAATAACGCAGGAAAAAGAACACAGCGCCAACGCAAAAAAAAAATGTATAAAAAAACAAAAAAAAAGAAGAGCATCAACTGCTCAAAAATAGCACAAATCTCTGGGTATGCTGGTCTATTAAAGCAATTAAGAATACCAATTATATTTATTACTATTTTTTTCTTTTCTCTGCACAAAGCAAACCACCAAAACGGTCCAGGGCAAAGCACATACTACGACCTAGCAAACCACAAGCAAACAAAAAAGAAATTAACCATTAGCCTAATTTACACAGTAAACACAAGAAATACACCAACTATGGGTGTAAGTCTATATATATGTATCTACGCAATTATAAATATAAATTCATCTGTTATTATTATTTCATTTTTCCCACTGCAAAAAACAGTTCATCATCATCATCACAGTGCAAGCCCAGGTGCACACAGAGAGAAAGTCTCCAAGAACACACACACACAATGGAGTAGCAATAATAATAATTATAGGATAAACACACACAAAACACATTAACATTAAGAAACATAAAAAGAAGAATAATCCCAATAGGTGGAAGATTAGTTAGACTGTAGGGTTATATGCAAAAAAGAAAAAGAAAACAAAGGATGACCTGAGTCATACCCCCACCACACCATTACACAATCAGCACACAAGAATACAGGCCAGTGTAACCACAATCAGTAGTGATGCACGCACCCACACAGAACTGCTGATACTGCTGCTGCTGTCTGCATCACCCTTCTTGTTGTTTGTGAGTTCAGGAGGATGTGTTGGTGTTGTTGTTGTTGTTGTGGTGGTGGTGGTGGTTGATTCTTCATTAGCGGGGTTACTTGTTGATTCACCCCCTTCAGGTGTACTGTCGCTCCCAGTGTTTGCATTCTCAGAATCAGCTGCACTCTCTTTGGTTGAACTGCTTGTAGAAGATGGTTGTATTGCTCCACTTTCTCTTGGTGCACTGTCTCCAGTTTGACTGTCACCTGCAGGCGCAGTCTCTCTCCCTTCAGTAGGTGTAATAGAGGTAGTAGATGTAGTAGAAGGAAGAGCAGCACCAGTAGTAGAAGGTTCAGAAGAAGAAGCAGCGTCATCATCTCGATTGTTGGAGTCACTACTATGTGTTGCTGGGTTCTGTCCGCTCGGAGCTGATGGTCTATCTACAGCATTACCTGGGGGCTCTCTATCAGTAGCAGGAGATGGTGGAAGAGCAGGCTGAGTTGGTTGTAGATGTGATGTTTGCGGAACAAGAGAAGATTCATCAGGTTGCTTTACCGCTGGATTGCTTAAGGGGTCTGTGTTTTCTGTTACTTTAAGTGAACCGTGCTCAATTTTTATTTCTGTCTGTACATTTTCTAAACCAGTAGAATGTTCTGATCTCCCTTGTTGCAACGTACCTTTAGCTTTTACCTGCAGCTCTTTACCTTGTTTTCCAGACTTACTGGATTCAGCGCCACTTGATGAACTCTAAGTATGCAATTTTGCATGGTTTTCAGTCCCTTGGTCTCCCTTCTCATCCCTTCTATCCTCATCTTTCTCACCATCATGATGTTCGTTATCTGAATCCCACACAAGCCAATTTTGTTCCTCCGCAGGAATAGCACGACGAACAAAAGAAAGAACACCACCCGTAGAAGATTTAATAAGGGCATCAGAAGTTGTAGGACTATCAGCCCATACTAACCCACAAGCACAACACAGTGCAAGAGTTAATAAACAGAGCAGATAGCACCTCACCATTACAGCCTTTGTCATTGTTGTTGTTTACTTCAATAGACTGAAACGAGAAAGAAGAAGGCAGAGAAAGAATTATCATAGAAACAAAGAAACATACACCAATACTCACAGTGGAAAAGAGAGAGAGAGAAGCAGCAACTACACAGTAAGCAAGAAAAAAGAATATTCCGCTTGTATGATAATATGTATCCATTAATAGGAAAAGAAAAAGAAAAGAAATGACCCTACAATACCCAAATAAGAGAGAGCCAAACACACACAATACCCCACGGCCCTAGTTTATGTATTAAATTACTGCACACACACATCTGTGTGTACTAGCAAAAGAGGTATACCGCCAGTGAGCAGAACAGCCCAGGTTTCTGCAAACACACAACGGGAAAAGCAAGTAATGGAATTATTAGAAAAAGGAAACACACACACATAAAAGTAAAAATAAAAGAAATTCCAATTAATAAGAGAAAGCTGGTAAACAGATTATTAATTTATTCACCCATGGGGGATGTATGCAATTATGATTATGGTAGTTTAACCATTATTATTATTTGTCCTCAGATGAGTCCCACTGTTCAGTACACGGTAACGGAGAACAACACAGTCACAATCAGCAGCGGTGCTGCAGTGCGCATCCACACAGGACTGATACTGCTGTCAGCATTGACCTTGTTCTTCTGAACAGTGGAAGCAATGCTGCTCTCTGCGGGAGATACAGTGGTCGTGTTTGTATTTGGCGCTTCAGTGTTAGTGTTCTCGGTGTTTGGCGGAGCAGTGGAAATTGAATCAGCATTGCCATTCCCCTGTAAACCTTCTATGGAAACTGAACCTTCAGGAGATCGTTCCTCGGTAGGATTAGAGTCACTCACTGTACCACTATCATTTGCCGATGGACCCTCTTCAGTTACAGCGTTTCCTGAGGTTTGAGGAACTTGAGTAGTAACAGCATCTTTGACAGGTCTATTCGATGGTGGAGTTTTTAGAGATTGCTCTGACTCTGGAGAGGCCTGTGTTGTACTTCCTACGTTGGAGACTTCTGCAGTTGCTCTTTCTGGATCAGATCCTGGTAATTGACCTTCTCCTTTCATCAATGCATCTCTTCTTTCAAGTGAACCAGACGCAACATGATCAGCAGAATTAGGTGCTGTCTCCTGCACCCTAGTTTCCAAATCTTGTCTTTGAGGAGGAGCATTAACCGACAAAGTTTTGTTCCTTTCCTCACAACTTATACCATCAATAGAAGATTTAGGGTACTTCTCACAATAATAATCATTGCTTCTTTTTATAAGAAAATCTCCCCATTCCCATGGCTTTTCATTCTCCATCGCCCGTGGCTTATCAGCGTCATCAGGAGTAAAAGCAAGGATTGCTGTCCTTGTTGTTGTTGTTCTTGCTGCTGCTCTTGCGGTACGCTGGCGGCAGAGGTCTGCGTACTTCCCACATGCAGACACACGGCTGCCCGCACCGCATGTGAGCCACTCGCTCGCAGCAGCGGGGCGTACACGCAGCGCACCGCCGGCCCCGCACGACACCTCCACAGCCCCACGGGATACACCACGGCCACTGGGACTGTCATTATCAACAGCAGCAGCAGCCGCCATGGTATACCCGCAGGCGCAGCACAGCACAACGGCCAACACACACATCACACGGCGCATTATCATCATCATGAGATAGACAAGGGGTTTGTTTCACGTAAAAACACTGATCTAAAAAGAAAACAATCAAAAAGTAAAAAAAAAATAACTGAAGTATGAAAGATGTTATGATACACAAATCGATTACCACTATGGAAACTCACATCGTGAGAGTAAAACCTACCAGTTAAAGAATGCAATACAGCGCAATAACCTTAGTAAGAGTAAAAAGAAAAAAAAAAGCCCACACTCACAAATATCTCAAAAAAAGCTCAGAGACCCAGCAAAATCATCAAGCAAAGAAACAGATATTAACCATTAGCCCACTTTACCCAGTAAACACACAGAAATATACCAACTATGGGTGTAAGTCTATATGTGTGTATATACGCAATTATAAATATAAATTCATCAGTTATTATTATTTCATTTTCCCTCTCACTGCAAAAAACAGTTCATCATCATCACAGTGCAAGCCCAGGCACACACAGAGAGAGAGAGTCTCCAAGAACACACACACACACACAATGGAGCAGTAGCAATAATAATAATTATAGGATAAACAAACACAGATAACACAAACACCCAAAACACACTAACATTAAGAAACAAAAAGAAAAAAAGCCCAACATGTGGAAGATTAGTTAGACTGTAGGGATGTATGCAAGAGAAAAGAAAAGAAAACAAAACAAAGGATAACCTGAGTCACCACCACCACCACTACAATCAGCACACAAGAATACAGGCTAGTGTAACCACAATCAGTAGTGGTACACGCACCCACACAGAACTGCTGATACTGCTGCTGCTGTCTGCATCACCCTTCTTGTTGTTTGTGAGTTCAGGAGGAAGTGTTGT